TGGCTCAAGAAATGCTTGGACTATTTAACCCTATATTGGAACCAAAAGTTGCTATTGAAGAAAACCAAGTTCCTTGGAAGGTGACTGAAATAGATTTTCAGGTGGACTTTAAAATTATAACCTATAAGAAAGAGATGGAAATATTGGATTTACAAATGGAATTGGATGATCATTTGAAAATTAATAATATCTATGTTACTATTTTTGAAAATTATAACCTATAAGAAAGAGATGGAAATATTGGATTTACAAATGGAATTGGATGATCATTTGAAAATTAATAATATCTATGTTACTATTTTTGATATACAAATAAGGGATTAGTATTTCTGGTACTGTTTAGCAGTTTTTATTTTTCGACAATGTTTAATTATTAATTGAGATTAATAATGGGTTGCTCTTAATTGTTAATTGGGATTAGATTTTGATTATTAAGAGAGGGATTAAGAGGGATTATGTTTAAATGGAAAGGGGGACTAAATGTTTATGTTGTTAGTTATGTCTGTTAAACTTTACACCTTTTGTTGATTAAGAAGGAGAGTGGAGGATTTAGAAATGGGTCTGTAGAAAATGGAGTAAAGTATGGAATGAAAATGTATTTGGTACTATTTTAAGAGAAAGTGATAAGTTGCTGATATTGTATATACTTGCTGGAGATGAAGGGGGAAGTTTCTTTTTATTTTTTGGAGGGAGAATTTCTTTTCTCTCTGCACTTTCTTATATTTTTTAATGTAATTTTGTATTAGGTTTTTGTATTAGTTTTATCTGTTCTATATAATATTTAATAAAATTATTGCAAAAAAAAAAGAATCTTTCCCTGGAAGTTCCTTCAATAAGCATCTCCTATTGTGGTCTAGGTGGTCAAAGTTAATTGGTGTTGCTATTTGGAGTTTTTGTATTGATGAACCATTAAAGTTCATTACCCTTCTCAACCAAATTGTGTGGAAAGTCCCTTGAGTGGAATTTAACTCTTTTATTAGTAGATGCTAAGGACACAATGACATGTCTCCTTCAAATGCAGCTCAGGTCCTGGTGACATTTCAAGGGCATGTTCATATAGTTTCCTTAGGAACAGTAAAGACTGTTGCCATTGGCTTATTCTGGGATGTTTTCGGACGCCTCAGACAAGAAACAACCTTAACTTTTGTGGAGATCTCCCATGGAAGTATCAACTCTGCTTAGGTCTGATCTTGCTTAACTTTCTAAAATCCATTGAACTACACTAGTTATTAGATGACACCGAAGGCTGCTAAATTCGTTTATTCAGCTACACAGCTTCTCTCTCTTAAAGTTCCTAGTTCTGTTTGAGGCTCTACTTGTTTGTTTCTCTTTGATTTTCTATTCTTTTGGCTTCGGGGTGATTTTACTGCTTCTTCTCCCACGATGGCATTTGTCTATCTTCTATTTTGTCTAATTTTATTTAGATTTTTTATTTAAGTTCTTTAAAACATTGCAACAGTTTTCTTGGGCGGCTTTTAAAGCTTATTGTGTCGTGCTTAGCGAGAAATATTTTATTGATATTTGTATTCTGTATGGGATCATGATCGCACGACAGATTAATAATTTCTGTAAAGGTTATAATGCAGATCTGAGCTCCTTGGGAAAAGGATGGAATGAAATAAATGCTGAGATTGAACGAACATTAACTTCACCCTCACAAAAACCCCGTGGAGTTCCTAATCCCTTGCCGGGCCAATGCATTTATTAAGCCAATCCCTAATCATAAAAAGATATATTAGTATATCAGTTCTCCAGATCTGGGATGAAAAGTTCCGGTGAGTTTGGGACCTCGGTTATGCAAAGCCACAAAAATACTACTCTCCTCCAATATGGCTTTTCAAAATTAACTAGTTTTGATTTGCAGTTAAAGGGTTAAAAAAAAAAGTTGCCCGGAAGAGCCGCGGGAGTTCTTTTGCCTCTGTGTATCATGGGAATCGTAGGAAAATATGGAGATTCTAGCTATGTCATGGCTGCCTTAAGTTTAAGGTAATGTGCGTTTGTCTTTTGTTGGAATAATCATGCCGTCCCCTTCCCCACCCCCGACCCCGCGCAAGCGCCCCGGAGGATCCCCTGTCCGCGAAAAAGGTGGCGGCTTCTCCAGAAAGTGGCCGGTGGGATCCGATCTAACGACTTTGCTCTTGGGTGTCAGTTCCATATTGCGGCAACTTTAATATTCCCACTTGTTGCTTTTTTTCCCCCTGATTGCGCTCGAGTGTCCTCGCTGTGATGGGTGTTGAAAGCGACGAGGCTTAACAAGGCTAAAATGGGAGGAAAAGTGTCCCCTTTCACTTTTTAGCATAATTTACTAGTTCACACAGACCTTCCTTTCTTTTTTTTTTGCCTTGTTCCAAGGAAGCGCTTCCCGGATCGCTTCTCTCTGTCTGTTTTTAGTCCGGCGCTTTGCAACTCATCGCTCTATCTGGGGTACTCTGAGTTTCTTCCTGACTTCGGAGAAAAGCGTCGGAGGTTAGGCGCTGGGTAATAAGGCCGCCCGATCGCCCACCCGCCGCAAACAGCAGATAAGCGCTTCGGGTTTGAGCGCAGCATCAACTTGCAGAAACCACAGGATCCAAATGGAGGAGCAGGCAGAGCGTTTGCATTTCTAGGGAAGTAAGCAGTTAGTGCGAGCAGGTGGACAGATTCTTCTGGCATTCGCCTCCTGTTAAGGAAAACTGTTGGGCGCAGCTTTCTTGGTTGATACAACATTTGCTGGATCACATTTTGTATTTGGCTGTGTGAGCAGAACATGCTGGGCCTAAAAACGAGAGGCAGTTTTCATCTGGCTTGGTGTGCGAACCCAGCCTGTTGCTAGTGTATAGTACAGTGTGTAGCACAAACCAAGAAAATCCAGTTATGGAATAAACAGTGGGCTGGATGAACTGTGAATGAGGGCACAGCCAAATGGCCCTAAGCCAGCAAAAAGTACATGGGAAGAACATTTGCTGCTTAAGGAAAATTCAGGATTCCCCTGGCTGTTTTGTTTTCCCATCATGTGTCATGTGCTGGCAAGAACACAACCAGTCAGTCTCCCTAATATGGAGTGGGGTGGAGTTAGGCAAGGTATGGTGTGTTTAGCCCCCTGTGAAGTTGCTTAACAGGTTGCAGACATAATATGCTCCACTCCTCTGACCTGTCAGTTGGGCTATTTCTGAACACAAATTTAATACTCGTCTGAAAGAGCAGTAAACGTGCAGTCTTTCTTCACAGCAGATTTGCTACAGTCTCTTTACAATTTGGGGTATCCTTTTCAACATTTTATTTAACTCTACAACATATTTTTGAAATGTAAGCCAGCAGATCTGAATATACTCCAGTTATGCTTGTTTATTTTTTATTCTTTCCGTAATGATCTTCACAAGATTTGGTTTTTACACTGGGGCGAAGTTGACCACAACTGAAGGACCACAACCCTTCTTAACTCAGACCACATCTTTTACCTCAGTGTGAGTTACATAGAGCTGACTACATTGAGGTGCATTTACCATTTCAGAATGCAGAGGTCTTTGCTATTGCTTTCTGTTCTGAAAGCCTAAATAAAAGTAGGTCATCAAAAAATGTGGCCCTCTCACTGCTGACTCAAAAGTTTTCCTCCCATGCTATGACTGCTAAATTTATTTAGGGGTTGTTAGTGAGAGACTTTATTCAAAGCTTTTTGAAAGTGTCTGTAAAGAGTTTCTACCAAAATACTTTTTATTCACTAAATAGCTGATGAGATATAATTTTACTTGGAAAAGAAATGCTAATACCTCTTCAGCAAGACATTTGTTTTGTAATAGTGGCAGTCTTCTTGTTCAGTTATCACAGCAAAGATGTGGCCAGGAGCTGACTGTAGAACACATTACAAACTGCTCATATGCCAGTTCCAAGGCATCTGAAGCAGAACAACAAACCCAACCCATTTGCACAATATTGGAAGTTGGACTTTGAAGAAGAGGGTAGAAAAAGCATTGATGTTGTGAACTTTGGTGTTGGAGAAGGCTCCTGAGAATATGGTGGACATGGAACAAATCAATCCTGAGTTCTCACTCAAGGCACAAACAACCACCTTATATTAATGTATTTTGGACACCATTATCTGAATACCCAGTTCTCTTGAGAAGTCTATAATGCTGGGAAAGTAAAAAGAAAGAGAAGAGGATGATCAGGAGCATGGTGGATGGGCTCGATTACAGTGCTGATTGGTGCACTGCCAGAAGACTTGAAGGGGACAGATCATCCTGGAGACAGTCTATATATGTGGCCACTAAGAATCACCATTGACTTGATGGCACATAATCATATTGTTATAATATTAGTTCAATGTGCTAATCCAGTCCTCCCACTCATTTATGTATCCATCTGTTTGCCTGTATGTATTTGTGCTACTTTTCATTTTCAGGCGGAATGGAGTCTTCTTTCCTGCCTTAGACTACAGATTCTAGCTAAATTTACGTTATTATAGTTTTAAATAACATTAGATATTCCAAAGAGATGTAACCCTCTTGATTTTCTGTTTCATCTCCAATATGTTGTGGTCCTCTCATTTTTAAAAAGCTTCGTCTTCTGAACTCAATGTAAGTTCAGTCTTCTTGTCAGTCCTACTTATAAGGAGTGGCAGATCAGATCGTTAACAGATTAAAAAGAAGTGATTTTAAATAAGATTTTAAATGTGTAAGATAAAATTTCTAAATAATCACATGACTCAGCTGTTAGTGATACAGTGGAATTAACCAGATAAATTTTGAGATAAATGTTGATTAAAAAACCCCACAATTTTTGTTTGAGCTGCAGTGTTTTTTTTTCAAAATAATTTCAGAAGAAATGTGAATACCATGTCAGCTTTTAAAATTGAAATTGCAATCCCCTTGGGAAAGGATTTTTTCCTTTATGAAAGAATAGTAGGAAATAATCTTTCTCAATATGCAGAGAAAATGTAATCCTGTTGGGGGGGGATATTTTTCCAGTGATCTAGTACACGTCTGAATCCTCTAATTGGTTCTGTGTTAAGAGATATATAAAACATTGTAGTGTTTAGAGCAATAAATATGTATTATGTTTATTTAGAAATTATCCCAATAATAACTAGAACTGTCTGGGTTAAATTAGTAATTTAAGGAAGCATTTTTGGCTTGATTAAAATCAGGGCTGGGCAAGCTTTGGTCCAGAGCTCCAACTGAGTCACCTGACCTCCCAATCAGTTACAAGAGGTTAACTAGTGACCTCAACAAAAGGAATGGGGCTGAAAATGTTCAGCCTGCCCCCCCCCCCCCCCCCCGGGGGGGGGGGGGGG